AAAAGAATTCTTATTTTCTTATTAAGAGAACTCTTACAGGTCCTTCTTCAAAGCCCCAGTTAGTTCCTTAGGAAAGAATGAGATAGACAAATATCCCCATTGCAGCCTTCTGAGGGGGAGAATTTGATAAGTGAGAACATCAAAAGATTCAAGTAAAAATACCCTTCTGCTTGCCACTTTGTCTCAGACAAACCTATCTGCTCCTAAAAGGTGAATGGAAAACAAGAAAAATTAAAATTACTGATTAATAAAACAAATGAAAGTTTCTGTATGATGCATATCTATCCAAATGTGTGTGAGTTTTATTGTCTATGTAAATCAGAAACTCTAACAAGTCATGTTTTTTGTCTCTCTAGATGGGTAGCCTATGAAAACCCAGACTTCACAGGAGAACAGTATATACTGGATAAAGGCTTTTATACCAGTTTTGAGGACTGGGGAGGCAAAAATTGTAAAATCTCTTCCGTTCAACCCATTTGTTTGGTAAGGAATTAAAATTTTATTTGAGGATATTTGAATTCTGCATTTTCTTTAGTAAGATACTTTTGATCCATGTAGTATTTAATGCTGTAGAAACTATTCTGAATTATATTTACTACTAATTGCTAGTGACCTGGAAGGGAAAAAAAAAACAAAAAACATTTTCAAGATGTCTGCTGTATTAATTTTCTTCTCTTTTCCTTTTATAAACCTAGGATTCTTTTTCTGGCCCGAGGAGGCGAAATCAGGTAATTGAAAAGATACTGTGTTTTTCATAGCTAGCGGCTTCCCATTGAAACGCTGAACTTCTGTGTAAAATGTCAGGCATTTGCCACATTTTGTTTTATCCATTTCTATACCTGAAAACATACCATATTTTAAAGTTAGTTTTAATACTTAATTGTTAGCATTGATCCATATCTAAATAATTAAGTTTATTATGTAAAACTGAATTTTAGTTACAGCTTTACATTGAATAATATTTCAAACAGTAGCATATATGTATTGTGATACAAAGTAAAATGAATTTTCACATTTGCTGTGTCTGCATTAGACAAACATTTTATGTGTTCTTTCATATGGGCTCTCCCCTAACCTTTTGGATGCTGACTATCTACATTAACTGAAGAGTTACATTCGTTATTTAACCTTTTTAATGGCAGCCAGACAGCCATAATTACAGAGTCACAAACACTACTGTAGCTTTCTTTACTAGCATACACAAGATTCTAATAAGTCAGCAAGTATCTTCCACTGAGAGGGAGGGGATCTATACTACATGTTTCCAAAATACAGTTTCTTGTAAATGGTAGAACTGATGAACAATTACGTTTGGCCACAATAAAGCTTTAAAATGCTGCACAGCTTGTTAGGACAGGGTGTTCTATAGAAACTGCCTCTATTGTTTCATTGTCCTTTGATGACTATCTGAATTGTAATAAACAGATCATGAATGGTGCCGCCAAAGTATTTCTAATTGATCCTTAATGTAGATGTAGAAAATTAAAGGATTCGTAAAACTCACACCATTTTACTACAACAAGAATTAACAGGTCATGTTTGGGTCATTATTCCAAAGGCTGAATAGTTAGTGCACTTAGGAAAATAATTTTATGTATTTCCGTTTACTTCTTCAAAGATTCACTTGTTTTCGGAGCCGCAGTTTCAAGGCAGCACTCAAAGTTTTGGAGAAACGACCAGTCAAATTGATGACTCATTTTCTGCCAAGTCTTGCAGAGTTTTAGGAGGCAGGTGAGTAAAATTGTGGACAGGCAGAGCCACTGAGGGGAAATAGAAATCACATGGGTCGGTATTCAGTGACTTCTGTTAGGTGTTGACCTGTGCATGAAAGTACCGAAGAATACAAAACCATCTTGGTACTGAAGTATGCTTGCAGCGTCCGAGTGCTGGGCCTACATCAGGGGACGTGCTGGTCAATTTTGAGTTGGAAAAGTTGAAGCCCACCACCTTGGTGTGCCACAGGGTTCGCACCAGTCTCTCTCCTCCCTAGGCCTGTCCCGGATGTGTCAGGCAGTCTAGCAGATCCCTGCGGTGCCTTTCTGCAGACTCTCACAGGCAGGCGTAGGACAGGCATTCTGCACATGGCAGGCAGGCATATGGCTGGAGGGGACTTGGTGTGTGCTGACCAGGGAATGTACAACCTTCGCTAGCTGAGGGGAGTTTGTAGCGGGGGAAGGGGGAGCAAGTTTGGGTAGGGAGGGTGGGATCAGGTTGTAGAAGTTTCCTCTGAGCATATGAATTTAGATGGATGTCGCAGGAAATACAAGACAGGAAAGGCGGAGCTACAACATTTAGCACTGCAAAGGGCAGGAGTGCAACATGGCATGCTCACAATGGTTTACTACTTACTACTTGATCAGGAAGCCCCAGAGCAGCCTGTCTAGTAATAATAGTGCCCTTTCATCATACAGCGCCTCCCTGCCACTCACCCTTGCAGAGGGGCGAGAGCACTGGCTTGGCATTCAAATGTGCAGGCCTACAGGATCATGTCACAACGTATCAGGGCATACCTCCATCCCATTCTAGCTCCTACTCGGCTTCACTTATTGCAACCTGACATACTTTTGTTTTGTTCACTATTCATTAGGTTGTAAATTTTAAGTTGGCAGGAAGTTTTTTTGGTTATTTATTTTGTCTCCAGCAATGGAAAAGTATCTGTCACACAATTGCATTAAAAAAGAAAATAAAAACTTTTCTAGGGGAGTGTGGTAAGTTTCCATTTACCGTAAATGCTGAGGCTCAGAGAGGCGAAGAATCGCTTGTCTAAAACTCAGCATGGTATGTTGGGACCTAGCCCACCTGTGCAGAGGTACCAGAAGGGAGGAGAAAAGGATGTGAGGAAAAATTCTGGGAGGAAATCAGTAAATCCTGGTGATGGCCTCGCTTTTGAGGGTTATAAGGGGACTCAGACCTGAGAAGACCACAGTGCCTGGGAGAATGGTGGTTGGCACTCCTGATGGGGGCAAGGGGTCTGGAAAAGTGAGAAGTACCAAGTGGAACAATTTGATGGAAAAAGAACTTTGATTTGCAAACTGAACAGATTTCTTATAAATTTGCCACAGGCTGAAATGCAAAAGGATGTCCAGATATTTTGGAAGAAAACATTGTCAGCCACAAGTATTGTTTATTTTATAGCAGGTTTCTCAAAAGATCCCAGTTGAACAGGAATGCCAAATCACACATTGTACTTTGTATATGGTTTTTCTTTTTGTAGCTGGGTTGCATATGATGGAGAGAATTTCTCGGGTAATCAGTATGTTCTGGAAGAAGGCCACTACCCTTGTCTCTCTGCCATGGGATGCCTGCCTGGAGCAGCTTTCAAGTCTCTTCGTTTCATTGACGCTGTAAGTGTGTCAGCAGAGCTTTACTGAGATGTGTGGTCACAAAGCTGATGTGACAACAAGGAAACCAACAGGCAGAGCGGACTCGGGGTGAAAAGTCAGAGGCAGAAGAGCAGCTGCAGACTTGCCCTGCTGAACCTTTGGCCTTTTTAGATTTTTAACATTTCTGTTGCCTTTGTCTGCATTTTCTCAGAAGCAGTGCACCAAGTTAGTTGTGTGCACAGTCGTCACGGGCAGGTCAAGGCCCCTCCTGTCTTGCTTTTTCCACTTCATTCCTATTCTCTATTTTGGTGCCTCCCCACTTTGTGGGTACTGGTTCTAAAGTGTGTGGAGACAGGTTGCATATTCTTCCAAAGTCCATGTTTTTAAAAAATATGTATAAAGGCTTTATAGAAACAGACTATACCTGTCTGTATTTAAAACTTTCTGAAGCACTTTCCATTCTGTGGTATGCACATGTAGTTGTGGATTCTAGCTGGTACAAGTTCTCCATCACCTTATTTTGCTTACTTACTCCTCACATGTATGTCACTGTGCCCTCATGGGGAGTCTCTTGAGGACAGATACCGCAGGATTGGGTGAGCGTGAATATGCAGTTTCACTGAATCTTGCCATATTCCATCATTTTAGACTCCTGCTGGCAGTGCACGTGGGTGCCTATCCCCTCATCATTGCCAGCACTGGGTATTCTCTACCGCCTAACTTCTGTCAATTTTGAGGAATGGATAGAAAGTAGTATCTCACTGTTAACATTTCACTGTTAGTGAAGTTAGTATCTCATTTCTTAGTCATTGGGTTTTGTATCCAATGAATTGCCTGATGTCTATTACTCTGTTGTTTTAAAGACTTGCAATGAGTGATGTCTTCCAGCTTTATACAGTATGTGCTAATCCAGATTTAATGTCCCCTTTTCAACAAAAATCTTTCATTTTGATGTAGTCAAAGCAATGTTTAATAGACCAAAACTACAAGAAATGTTCAGATGCTCAAGTCTGGATCTGGCTGTAATTTCGAGAATTTTATTGGATTTTGGTAGCTGATACCTCATTAAAAGCTCTAAGCATATATAGTTGGTGATTTTGGTTTTAAAGGTAAGGACACTTGTGAGTTGGCTTTATCTTACCCCTGCCTGCTCAAATAATTAAAATGTTGGCCTTTCTTGAATGTAAAGATAGCAATAGATTGATCAGCTTACATAATGAAATATCTAAGAATTCAATGTTTAACTTGCCTACAATTCTAGACGCTACCAACCGTCTCTATTTGGAAAACAAAACCCAACACTCCAGATACAGTTTTGAAATGCTTCCCATCAACATACGCTCATATCACTTTTAGCACTTACAGATGACATCCTGTTGGATTTTGACTGTGAAGACTCTATGTATTATTAAGAACATACATCTTTACCACTTAATACTTTAAACATGTCCGTTGTCACTGAGTTTTTAGATTATTTTTGGTGTGTCATGTCAAAGTGCACTGTAAACACTACCCCAGTTCTTGTATACAACTTGCTATACAACTACTTCCCAGACCATACAAACCATCCCTGCACACTCCCCCACTCCTGGTCAGCAAACTCCACATGTCAGGGCACGTCCACATACATGAAGCAGCCAGGCGCCACGCCCTTACCACAAAACTTTAAGCAGGTAGGAAATTTTTGATGTATCGTTTATGATCTTAGAGGAGTATTATCATTAGAGCTTAGTCTAGGGTTATAAGGGTCTGTAATTGGAAAAACAAGTAGAAGCTGCCAACTTGTCATTTTTCTGAAAGTCAGTGGGCTGCTGTGCACTGTCTCCTTAAAACGAATGACTGTGTGAGGGTGGGTGCTCCCAATTTTTTTCTCAGCAGTAATTTCAACAGGAAAGTTTGCGAACATGGATACACAGAATCTAGCCTTTCTGGCAACACAGTAACAGGACACTGGAGGAGATAACACAAGGGGAGGCTCGCTGCCAGGCAGTTACTATCGGCCAGACACCAGCGCTGGTACAGCCCTCCGGCCTTTGGCAGTGGTGTCCGGGCTTTTGGTCCCTCCATACCCCAATACACAAAGCTGAAAATAAATTCCACTAGAAACCGTGATACTGATATACAGTACTTTGGCCTGGAGTAAATTTTCCTTTGCTTTCTAACACTGTTTACACATACCTTCCTTTCTCTGCAATGGAAAACTTCCTGCCTCATCACACTCCTTATCTCCCTTCAGCCTTGCCTTTTTAAACACCGAGACCCCTGGGAAAAGGAGTTTATGGAAGTCAAGCCTGGCAGATCATGTCCTTTGTCCTTGTAAAGGGATGATTTAACATAAATTTGAATTATTATCAAAGATGAATAGCAGAATGTTGTTTCTGTTCCTAAACAGGAATTTTCTGAACCAACAATTATTCTTTATGAAAGAGAAAACTTCAAAGGAAAAAAGATCGAGCTCAATGCAGAAACAGTTAATCTCCGATCCCTAGGATTCAACACGCAGATACGCTCTGTTCAGGTGATTGGTGGCATGTAAGTGATTAACCTACTTGTTTATTCATTTTTTTAATGTGGTATTTCCTTCCTTCCTTACACTACCTGAACACTAACCTTTTTCCCCTGTAAGCGTTAATAGTGATACACTTTCAGAGTATACTTTTCCCACTGGAAAAACTATGAGTGAGGTATCATCTCTTGATCAGATTTTTATCCTACTTAAGGGAAAGCCTTTGTTTTTAATACCCCTCACAGATCCTAGGGACATCAGTGCTTAGTACATTCACTGAGTTGAGTACTCTTTCTTTTTAGCAAGTGAGAAGGAGCTAATTTTTCTTTGCCCTTTGAAAGACCCATGATTTTGAAGGGCTGAGATTTTTCTCAACTTTGAATAATTTTGAAATGAAGATAGAAAAATGAATAAGGACGGTCAGTGTAATAAATATTTTTAAGAAAGTATTTTTCTTTCACCTGCAGAAACCATTGGTATGTTCTGTATGCCCTGAGTGTTAAAGCTATTTAAAAAACGATTATGGGATATCAGAGGGTAGAATTACTAGTGTTTTATTTTAAACAGGACTTACTACTTTGTTTTTCTGATACAATGGCTAAATGACAACATTTTAGAGTTCCCGGATGACAGGTGAAGGATATTATTCTTCCTTGAGATAATACATCCTCCGGAAAGGAAGGTTGTGGGGTCCTCGCATACTTGTCTGGGGGAGCCCACACTGGCTCAGGTCTGGGTACCAGCATCTCTGAGTAGAAGAGATTTGAGTATCTTTAGCAGTTTTCTGGGCTGAGGAAGAGTACTCATCAATAAACTCTTTTTATTTAACAAAGCACTTACTGTGTGCTTTACACTAAGAACTTTACAAATACCATTTAAGTAAAACTTGGAGGAAAGAGCAGACCACTTGCGAAAAAGATTCTAACTGGAGGAAAAAACATTTCAATAATGGATCTTTTTTGGCATAAATGCTCATGTATAAGGAATTTTCTGACAACTCTGTTTTAGAAAATAAGATAGTTTCCTTTTCCTCTTCCCCAGTGTACATTTCAAGTATAAAGATCATCCTAAAAGTTGGAAGCATTGTAAAAATAAATTGGGTTCTTTGTCACGTGGAAATTGCCACTTACTGTGGTTATCTAATTTTTTCCAGATGGGTTACTTATGAATATGGCAATTACCGGGGTCGACAGTTCCTACTGTCCCCAGCGGAAGTGCCTAATTGGTATGAATTCAGTGGCTGTCGCCAAATAGGTTCTCTACGACCATTTGTACAGGTATGCTTTTCTTCATGCTGCTTTGAATAGACTCTTCTCAGAAGTTTATTTTTTGTAAATATAGTTCAACTTTTTAATTACAATTTTAAGTTGGACACCTCCCTCTCCTCCCTCCTGAATTTGGGTTCCTAATGCTAACAGGCTGTGGCCACTTTCAGAAGTGCTATCACACCAGCATCAAAACCTGCTTTGTGCCAAGCTGGATTGTTCACAGGCAGGTTCTCCGCCCTCCCAGGCACTTCTTTGGATTTTTGCCAAATTCTTCTCATTGAGAAAAACCTCTGAGACTCTTGGGTATAGTAATTATCCCTAATCCACTTCACCTGACATTCTACCCCTGCTATAAATGCTTGTTCCGTGTTTCTAACAGCACAACTGGGCTTTTTATCTTTTAGAAACGAATTTATTTCAGACTTCGAAACAAAGCAACAGGGTTATTTATGTCAACCAATGGAAACTTAGAGGATCTGAAACTACTTAGAATACAGGTCATGGAGGACGTCGGTGCTGATGATCAGATCTGGATTTATCAAGAGGGATGTATCAAATGCAGGGTGAGTCTTTCGGGATAGACAGCGCACAGTATCTTGTCATGTAGATGCTACTCACAATTCCAGTAGTACATTTAGAAATAACAGATGGTTTCTCATGAAAAAATTTCTTAGCAGCCAGGAATTTATGGAAGGTAAACGTGGCACAGAGTGTGTTCTAGAGTTAAACCGCGTCCCCAACTAGGATGAAGTACCTCTCTGAATACAACAGTCCTTTTCCTAATAGACACTGAAAAGCTGAATGTAGTTAAGATTTTATGAGAGAAGTTCACGCTTCTATTGTAGTTACTCTTTTTAAACTCCTTGATTTTATGGGCTTGACTGTTAGCTCCTTTTTTTTTAAACTTGCTGCCCCATGAGTCAGCAGAAGACCTTGTGAAAGGGAGCACAACTTATTAATTGGGTCTGAGGTGCCTGAGGGAGAAGCATCCCTTCTGTAAATGAAGGACAGTTGAGACCTGCATAGAAGAAACCTGAGACACTAAAGTGGCAGAAACAGAGCTTAAGAAAAGTCAATTGCTGCCTTTGAATTCTCTCAAACAATTCAAGAAAATGGTGCCTTGTAGCTGTTATTTTCTAACAGATATTTCACTGATGTTATTTAACTCTGAATGGGTCAGTGAGATAGTTTTTACAATCCTTTCATTCCCAATACAGAATGTGTTTTTTCATTAGCATTTTCTTTAGCAATATGTGCTAATGTCACATGAATACAGGCCTACTATATTACTGTTGTGAATTAAGGGTAGATTCAGACCAGGGCCTAGATATTTCTGCATTAAAACATTGAAATACATTTCTCTTTCTCCTTTCACAGCAGGACAGCATGCCTTTTAAGCAAATTTTAGACTTCTCATGAAAGAAGGAAGGAAAATGGAATTTCAAAGGTTTAAATGATAACCAAATTAGCCACCTTAGGGCAGTGGTGGCTTTCAAAATTAAACAAAAAACTGCCTAGTTTTATTCCTTTCTGGGATATTTGGAAAGAAAGCTTCCTCAGACATCCTGCTCTGTTTAATTACAGATGTAGCCTCACATCTCAGTCATTTCTAAGAAGGGATAATACGTGAGATGGACAAAACTCAATGTTCCATCATCTGGAATAAAAGGCATTTATTTTTCAATCCCAGTTACTCTGGCTCACAGCTTAAATGCCTCATGTGAGGGTAAACAAATCTAGTAACAAAGATAACTTAGAAATCTATTTAAATGAAATGATTTCAGTGATGCTTGATTGCATACCCAGGTCTAAGACATCTTATCTTTCCCACTGAGCAGATAGCAGAAGACTGCTGCCTGACTATCGTGGGGAGCCTGGTAACCTCTGGCTCAAAGCTGGGCCTGGCCCTGGACCAGAATGTTGACAGTCAGTTTTGGAGCATGAAGTCGGATGGCAGGATCTACAGCAAGTTGAAGCCCAACTTAGTTTTAGATATCAAAGGTAAGGATCATCTTAATTTCTAACTCTATCTTTAATTAACTAAAAGCCAATTCTTCTGAAAATGATGACTGTAGTAGTAATAGACTTCTTATCATGCCAGCCACTGAGCTAAAACATTTTCCATGCATTATCTTGTCCTCAGTCCCAATTAAGTGTCTCTCTGAAAGCTACCTAAATGCTGAGATGGAATTTGGATATGAGCTGACTTTCAACCGCTTTTTAATTATGTATATAGACAGTGTTAGATTAATCATCGCAAGTTAAAAGGCTAAGTAAGCTCTCAGCATAGTCAATGACTTTCATATATAGCATATAACCTTTCATTGAAAAGCTAAAAGGGAGTAAAACAACAAACACAGCCAAGGGGAGAACACTTGTGAAGTTAGTCCAGCATGAACCGAGAGTTGCAGAGGTTGGGAATCATTCTCTTAAACATATCTGCATCGGTCTTATTAAAACACAGATTGCTGGGCCCCAACCTCAGTTTCTCATACAGGAGATCTGAGTTAGAGCCCAAGAATCTATCAAATTCTAAGCATGGCTGTTGCCCATGCTGTTGGTCCAGGACTACTAGGAGAAAGAAGTATGAGGGCAACTTAAGAACACTAGAATTCAGTCAATGGTTACTATTGCTGATTTTGTTTTGAATTAGTAGTTTTGTATTTCCTATCAGAAAGGTAAGCATAATTATGTTTGTAAATTTAGTAAACCTCTTATAACCATAATACTTAATCAGAGCTCTAGGCCTGATAGGTATGCAGGGTGAAGTGTTCTGATAAGAGAGGAAAAGCATGAATATTTTCATCAGGGGCTTCGGTGACTTCATGGAGACAAGTGGTTAACCCACTTAACAGAGGGATTAATATTCAGACAACCTGAGAAGTTGGAAAAGGGGCTCAGAGGCAAACTAAATTAAATAAGGCAGAACCAGAGCATTATCTGTGTGAACACAAGCTAACCAATAGGCAAGTACAAGTCGGGTGGGAACCAAAAATCACATGTGCAAGCAGGATCCTTGAGTATCAGAAAATAAGTGCAACATTCTGAAAATGAGTTATTAATGATCTAACTCCTTCATATTATACTTGGTACCATACATTTGTCAGAATATAATCCATTGTATGGAGAATCAGCCTGGGGGTCAAATTGATGAAATACTGACCCAGACCTTGCTTTATTATTTTGATCAACTAGTTAAACTGGAGTGCTTCTGCTCTACAAGCTGGGTACTCACTGTCAGACACTGTGGTTTCAGAGAACTTAAATTTTAAAACTTCCAGGCATAAAGCATTTTATACCTGGAATAAGAGCAATTGGTCTCTAGTTTTGACTGACTAGAATAGTAGGACTGCATTAGGTTCTTCTTGAATAAGGCATTGTGTGTGTGTATACACACGTCTTAGAGCTGCCATTCTTGTAACGGGAGAATGCCGCCACCTGGTGGACAGGACTGGGGCCGCACGCTGTGCAAGGATAGCACCAATGCCTCTATGTGCGCTTCAGAGGAAGCGGTGATTTTCATTAGCTGCAACTTCTGAACCATGTGTTACTAATATTGTCATCAGGGTGACTAGGGCCAGTGTCTTTCTTGTAACCCACCTCTCGGTGTTTGGGAAGTGAGTTGCTTTGGTACAGTCACAGACCACAACATACCTTATGACAACAGCGGAAGCTGATGCATGCTTTTAAAACATCAAGTCTGGGATGATGTTTAATTCTTCCAAAGGCAGAAGAATGAAGATTATTTCTCAGTCTTCATGATTCTAATTAGAATTATACACAAAAAATTACTAAATAAAACATTGCAACCTTAAGATAATACTTACTTCCTGAAATCTGATGGAGGGTTGTGTACGTCTCAGAAGAGATGGTGGCGTTTAGTGGTGGTGGTGAACTTTTTCTCGCAGTAAACTTACCTGTAACAGGCCTTCTTTTAAGAAGAGAACATGAGGCAGTTTTTAACACTAAGGTATCTGATCTCTAGTAGCTACCCTGGGAAAACACTCTTACAAACATTCTGGTGAGTGGAAGTTATGGGAATACACTAATTTCACAGTCCAGTGGAAACCAGCGTCTTAAATGCTATGAGTTTTAATCACTAAGTCTGAGGAGTGAGTGTTGCCTGGTCTGCACTTCTAGGTGTCGTTCAAATCTCCTCTTTGATATAAATACAGCATCACTCAAAACTTGCTTCTTCTGACAACCATTTCATACTCTCAGGTGTGCTTGCTTTCTCCTGGCTGGGGTCTCAAATCCCATCACTGAATGCATTTCACAAGCTCTCCTTTGGCCACAAAGGAGATGTTGCAGAATCTACTGTACTCTACCCCCCCCCCCCCCCCACTGCCTGCACAGGGCAGGCAGCACCTCCTGCGTGTGCCTGCGCAGTCTAACAGATGAGCTACAGCAGACCGACCTTCTAACCTACCAGTAGCCTTCCAGGCTCTTCTCCCTGCTGTTGTCCTTGAGGCACATAGTCTCATATCTTGCTGACTTTTGTTACACTGGTGTAAAAAAACTGTCTTTTCTTTTTTCCCCCAGGGGGTACACAGTATGATCAAAATCACATAATCCTTAACACTGTCAGCAAAGAGAAGTTAACACAAGTGTGGGAAGCAATGGTCCTTTAAACCAGAAGAATACCAGAGCACTATTTCTGGAGGTGCTTTCAGCTACCTTATTTAAGAAAAAAACAAGAGCTGCTGACAGAAGAAGCAAGACGCAAGCAGGACCTACCTTCAACTGGGACAACTGTTGAAACAATAATTTTAAGACAATTGTTTTAAAGCAGTAATTTGTCCTTTCAGTTCTTGCTTTTCATTTCTTTTTAGTAGCTGCTTAAACAGGCTGCTTCATTAGCAGCTTTTGGGTATTTAAGAAAAAAGATTTTATCAAAACTTTAGAAATAATTTAGAGTCTTAAACACAATGAACAGGGACAAATTCACTTGACTTTGTAGACCTACAAATTCCCAACACTATAAAGGGAAGGATAAGAGCTTGAGTTGTAATCTGTTCAGCATCTGAGAAGAATTCATTAGGTCTGTCATTTTGGACTAAATGGCTCTGGAACCATTATTATTTTAGTGTTCAGCCATTTTTTCTTTTGTTATAAATTAGTAAGTTTACAAGATTTCACGAACATGTCTGCTAATATTTGTTAATAGGATTTGGCTACTTTTTCACCCCTGGGCTGCCCAAGAATGTCACAAATGTTGTTAAATTCTTTTCTTACATATGCCATTGAAACAGTATTACCTTAACCTAATTTATTAGGTATTTTCATCTACAGTTAACTTTGAAGTGATGTTAAATTTCAAAACTTAGGTCTCTTATCCAGCCCCACTGACATGAGGCCTATGGGGTCACCTTACCTGGAGTGTTCTGCAAGCTATTCATCGTGCCTGCCCATGGACAGCCTCAGGGTATTGTGGCCCATGTGGTCACTTAGCTGGTAGTAAGCAGAAATGAGATGTGGAAAGCTCAGAAGGATGACCAGTAGTTATCTCCAGAAAGTGAAGGAAAGGAGGCCTTAAGAATCTTTGTTGAAGCCTGAAAACCCTAAAAAATGCGCAAGCATTTCAACGAAGATTAATAATTATGTTTAACCAAGGACAATTTGCTGGCCCACGTGGTGCTGTTCAAATCGCGCAGTCAGCTAATGAAACTTCTGAACCTTCCTTGACTATACTCTTTATCTTGTCCTCAGTTCACTGTCCTTGTCACTAAATACTGGTGCTCTCGTCACAGGAAGAACAATCTTGTTTCCCTTTCATCTGTTCTGGTGTGTTTCTCATTCTAAAATGTTGGTCGTTCTAGGGAGTCTCTAGTAGGCAATTCTGGTCATCAGAGTAGTTTTTCATTTTAAAGTAACATTTGCACATGTACAACACAGTCAACATGTCTGTCTTGTTCTTAGATGTATAGCTTTGACTTTAGGCCTTTTGTGCATATCTTTACAGCATGGTGGGTAAGACATACTACAATAGACTGTATAGATTTATCTCCTGAATAAACTTGTTCTCATTAACCATATTGATGAAATTTGATAGAATCCATTCAATGCTCTCCTAACACTGCAGATTAGAAACACATGTCTGAGTAGCAGGAGGCAGGACTGAGGGATACCAACTTCCCTCTTCCCTGACTTCATGGACAGGGGTATGTGCTGCTTTTCTGAGAGTGGCCACGAGCGTGAGCTCCTGTCTAGAGTTCCCCACTCACCTCCATATGGAGAACTCAAGGGAAACAGAAGGGCTTGTTCAGATGGAAGTGGAAGGAGCTCTATTTACAAATGGAAGCGCTCTCACTCAGTACACTAACCAAACAAATGTCTAAGAGGAATAAACCAAATAGAAAGTTACTCAAAACAGGCATACACAAAAAGAGGCAAATTTCTAAGATACAACAGGGAGGGTAAGTGCAATGGAAGTGAACACCTTAAAAAACACAGGAGAGACCCAGGAGCTACAATGGACTTCACAGCCATACCTAAAGGCAGACATTCAAACTCAACTGGAAAACTTGGGGTCCCCTGGGAACGGCTGCACTTTCCATGGAAAGGTCTTCAGAAAAACACGTTTCAATCACTGAAAGAGGCCCAGTCCTTATGCAAATGTAAGGATGTAAAAAAATTAGAAATTTTAGCATCACCTTTCATTACTAAGAAAGGAAACCACCAAATAGATAACTGATCAGGTTTTTATATATAAACTAGAGAGTCAGGATTTTGAGAGCCACTATGACAAAAACAAGCCTTTGGTCAGTGGGGACAAACAAGTGTTCATGATACATATATGGAAGAAGTAGTTTTAAGTAAACTCTTGCCATCTATCCACCTGCCAGAAGTTCTAGTATCTTACAGACGTTAAGATAAACAATTTGAGCTATTAGGGGAGTAGGTGCCACTGTAATTTGCACATTTGCTGTGAAAGAACAGCTTGAAAACTGGCCCAAGTACAGATAGTTTTCTATTATGTCTCCTTTACCTATTCTGTGTGCTTGGCACAGAGGGCCTCACAATAAAATAGCAATGTGTTGGGGGCTGGTTTCGCCAGAAAGCCAGCTGAGAGGGATGACTGGCAGAAAGGTGTTTGCTTCAACTCGGACTAATGTGGAAAGGGATGGCGAGGGAGAAGTTTGGGCCCATAATAGGTACTCACCAAATAAGAGCCAACAATCACCAAACTGATTATTTATTTAAACGACATTAATAACGGTCTTTCCTCGTGCATGTCCTCTTTCTACCTTCAGGAAGGCTTCTGGAACTTCAGAAAATGGAAACGTTTTTTCAATTACCGGATGAATCTATAAAACACAGGAAGGGGACTGGTAGGTAGGAAATGGCCAGGGCGGACAGTGGTAGTATTTAGCTTCTTGGTGCAAAGGTCCCACCACACCCATGTCTCTAGGGTCCAGGACCCCACACGCCACACGGTGGCTGCATCCCCTCCTGTCTGCTGCTTCTCTGTCAAGCAGCCCAACTTGACCAGTGCTCAATCTGTTCTATGCTGGCCATGTACTGTCCCACTCTTCAGTAGCTGCAGAGTCTCTGACATTCAAAAGCTCACCCCCCTGAGCTCTCAGCCTCTCTCCAACTCTACACTTTACCAAAATGTCTACCTGTCACTGAGCAGGGTACATTTGTGGCCCTGAAGAATTCTACCACCCTTCCAGATCCTCCAGCATGCAGTGTGTCTTTGTCTTGCAACTGGCTGCGTGACCCTCTTTACAGACTGTTCAGCTGGTTACAAGTCTCAGCATGCTGTGTATATACGTAAATAGCAAAGGGCCACGCCAGAGTTCTTGCTGTGTGTCCCGTGGGCCTTCACAGGCCGTGGCAGTGCACAGATTAAGATTTCTTCTTAATGTGTTAAACAGCTGGCACATCTCCTCAACCAGAACTCAGTACCTACAGTACAGCCACCTCTTCTGAATGCCCCACAGCACCCAGCAAATGTGAAGCCCATAGCAGGAGCTCAATGAAAAGTCAGCGAGGTGAAAATCAGTAAGCTAACTAGAAAGCAAGAGTCTTATGGGGGCTGTGGGCTTCAGAAGAACTTGTCTCAGGCTGGAGCTGCCCTGGGAGGTTTCACAGAACGAAATCCAAGTCAGCGCCTCAACCAAGGCTGCCGGGTCCTCCCACTGCTCTCCAGCCCCCTCTCAAACTCGGTCCTGTGTAGCGTATGTTCTACACAAAAACCCAATTGAACTGTTCTTTTCAAAACGTAAAAAAAAAAAATTTCAGCCATGGTCAATGATATTTCAGTGTCCTACCTCCCCACAGCTCCACAGGCAGGGATAAAATGTCAAAGGGCATAAGCAAACACACACCTTTCAAAAAAGGGGAAGCTAAGTGTCCCTGTGGCATTCAGATGCATCTCAAGTGCATTTCCCTGTGGGAACTCTACATCACAGCCACCGGGGAGCATCTCAGTCTCTAAGTTCCCTTCTCCCAAGGGCTTGAAAATTTTTTGTATCCACACATCATAATAAGCTCACAGTAAAAGGCACAGCTAGCACACTGTCCTCACTCTGAGCCAAACAGTCTAAGAGCTTTATATACTTTACCCCATTTAATCCCTATAACGAATCACTGTGAGGAAGGTACTACTACTGTTCCCATTTCATAAATGAAGAAATGAAGGCATTAGAGTGAATTAGTGGCCCGACGACACAAGCTGCTGTGCGGCGCACAGGGCTCAGTCTGGGCCAGTCACCCTCTGCGCCAAGCCTCTCGTAGACCCTCTGCTGCTTTCTACACAGACTCCTAAGGGAGCCCTCCTAAGGGAGGGCAAGGTAGCCAAGGATGATGAGACTTGCACAGCCCGTACTGCGCTAAGAGATCATGTCAACCAAGGAGCCGGCATCCGGACCCTGAGTCCAAGCCACCGAGCTGGCAGCTGTGGCACGTTTGCCTCCACTTCATCCGTGCCTGGGGAGGACGTCACAGTCCCCTCGACAAGCCGAGTATGACCTCGGCTCTTCTGCAACAATGCAGCCACAGAGCTGAGCGGCCTGTTAGAGGAAACCTCCCTCCTCTTTCAAAATAATGGAGTGCATTAAAGCTGTTGTTCTGCTGTCCTAAGTGAAACCTCCTGCACCCATAAACCTTGAAGCCTTAGTTTTCTGGATGTTGATTACTTGAAAATGAACCACCTGCATGCACACTTAATCCACAATCCTTGGCAGCTCTACAAATGAATCAGAATCTCTAGGAGTAAGGTGGCAACTAGACACTTTAAGCTCCTCAGGTAAATTTTCTGTACCCCGGAGTGGGAATTACTGCAACTTGGCATTTTTCTTAGGTGCCCTGACTTGCATTATACGTACATCCACTCTACAAAGACGCAGTACCTGCCGCCTGAGTGTTCGGCATTTACCCAGAGTAGCCACACCAAGACACCTGAGGTAGGTCAAGGAGAATGGCGGAAATAACAAACTCGTGAGCACCGGCCGCCAGCATGAGCATCGGCCCAGCAGTGGCGCCATCAGGTCAGAGAGGCAGGTGCCCCACCACCTGCTCAACTCCAGAATGAACTGCCTCAGCTCCTCCAGCCCTGTTCACCAGAGTGCTCGGACCAGAAGCACAGATTCTCAACTGATGACTCAGGCAACCAGCCCTGGCCGGTTGGGTGTACTGTGGCGAAAACCCCCAGAGGGCTGACGGCTGACAGTGGCATAATGAATCACTGGCCTCTTCCCATCAGTGAGAATGAAAAAAGGCTTTCAATTAATAGGCATGCAAATGTCACTGCTAGCTGAATATATGACAGCAAACAGATTAGCTGGATAATGAAGCAGTATCTGCACACAAGATTCCCATCAGACATAGACTGCTTGTTTGTCATGTAGACAATGGGGTCACAGTAAAAAATCCAGAGGGAAAAGACAGGTGGCCCACGGTAGGGTGGGGACGTTTATGTGATGACACCGCTGGAGTCCACAAGCACAGGCAGCCTGTGCTTATAAAGCAGGTGGCTCAACACCCCACTTCCTGCCTGGAAGTGCGCAGGGCTCACCGCTGACTAGAGACATCCACAGCAGCAGGGCTCATTCCAGTCTTGGACCCAAATTCAGGGTCTTCAGCCACACCTTACCTTCCGATTAATAGACAGGCCCCGGGATTGGACACCTGGCATCTCTTCTAGGAGAACACAGGGACAATGGGAACCTCAACTTCCCATTTGCCTCTGATGAATAAATTCTCTCTGCTCCTTGAGAGGGAGATAAAAGAAAACCCTTTCGCCCCAAGTGCAAGAACTCGTGAAGAGAGGCTATCCCATGGGCAGGCACAGCAGCAGGTAGAGAGGATTTCACCTCAAGGTCTACTTTGAGTGAGAATCACAAATCAAAGCTCACAAGGGATCTTCAATACCTGAGCAAGCCTGTGACAGATGAACAGAAGCACAAGTAGTGAACTGGTAAGTACCAGGTCAGATCTATCTGCAGCAGAGCCAAAGTTAGGACACCAGGTTTCAATACTGCATCACACATGTGGGTGTGGGGAGGGAAGCTTATGTCAGTCTCCCAACCTCTCCCTCAGGTCCTGGGCCTCGGCCTTCACTGGGCAGAGAACCCTAGCATCCCAGGGTGATGGGTGTACGGAGAGACAGACAGATGCAGACACCACAGGAGATTTAAGGCTTCTGTCATGAGTCCAATGCTACCCACCCGTGAACAGGCACCAAGGACTCAGGGGAGGGGTGGGGGGGACCACAGTTCCTGCACTTCCGCTTAGATAGGGATGGCCCTGACCACTGTGGCAGCCTCAATATTTTCAGGGCTGGGGTAAAGGAAAATAAGAGGGGTTAGCTAAGGAGATGTGGAGATGACAGCAGGAAAAGAAAGGCATTTCAAAGCTTTGCTATTTCTGGAAACTTCTGCTCCTAGATGGAAAACTCTAGGCTGGAAGACAGGTTATTAGGTGGAGTAGTAAAGGGAAAAATCTGCAAGTGAGAAAAATGTGCCCACTTTTAAAGAGATTTAGGACTTGTCCCTTTGGTTCCCCTGGACAAAAAAAAAAATACTCTTTCTAGTCAGAGAAGGAGAGGAGAAACTTGGCCTAAATCCTTCCCAGAAAAATAATTTCAGCAGCATCAAAACAGTAACATGAAGGGTTGGAGATCACACAGAAGCCATATCTGGCAAGATAGCCCTCTTCTAGGTTATCCTTGTGAGCCAATCCTTGAATCAACGCATTCTTTAAAAAAGAAAGTTGCAAGTAAGGATTTTAAAGTTTGCAATATAATTTAGGGCCTGGCCATCCCAGAGGGATCTGGGAAAAGACCTGCCTCAGAACTTACTGTGTTTTACCCAAACTTGCACTGTCCACTCTGGTCACCTCAAGTCACATGTGGCTGTATGCATTTAATCAAAAATCACTAAAATAAAAAATTCAATCCCTATGTACACTAGCTACATAGTAAATATTCAACCTCCACCTGGCTAGTGGCTGCCACACTGGACAGTGCAGACAGAACATTCCCATCACTGCAGGAAGCCTTAGTGCCCAGCACTACCCAGAAGGTGGCCAGCACCTCCCTCCTCTGGGTGAAGCTAGTGAGCCCTCAGTAAGTATTTTTAATTGAATTCAAATAAATTACATATGTGCCATTCTGATGCTAAGTAAAATAAAGAAATTGGGGTGTCTACATCATAGCTCTTATCAGGAAATGTGGCTGGTGACCGAGGACCTTTTCATTAGACCCGAGGACATTAAGAGTATGACATCACAGAATTTTAATAATTATGTAAAGAATATATGTGTGAATGAACATGCTAAGATAAAAGGACACAAAGAAAAATCTGCTTCTCATGCTCCATCCTTAGCTGCTCCCTTCCCCGTGAGCAACCAGCACTTATCTAAGAAAGTACTGTATAACTGTCTGAAAAATTTCAGACTGAAATTGTGCTCAGTTGGGAGTAATCTGAAATCCCGCCATGTGCAACAACAAGCCTTGGCAACGACAGACACATGAAACCAACACCCAAGTGTGGGTCGCCAAGAGAGGACTGTGAAATCCTCACATGCTTGGGAAATTTCAGTTCCTTACCACGTCTGAGCCTGACAACAGTACGACACTAAAAGCAGGGGATCGTCATTCAAAAAAGATTTACTGAGTGCGAGACTGTAAGGAGAGAGAAGTAGGGCTGGAGTTGACAATGGCAGTGTAAGTATGGCATTACTACACTGAGTGTGTCCCTGATCATGGGTAACTCTGAACTTCACCTATTTTTTCTAGGTCACATAGGCCTCCAGGAGAACTTAGAGTCTATCCACAATATTCATTAGTTCAGATTCTACTTTTACAAGGATAGCTAAGTCACAAATGATCTTGGTCAAATTTTCTTCACATTCTTAGAAAGAAATCTATAATGAAGTAAATCAGGTAAGAAGATACAACATGGGTAAAGAGACATCTAGACAGTAGGTCCATGAGAAATTCCAGACACTAAAACCAAATTTATTGAAATTTATATATAGCTATTAACATAATCATTTAAATATAATTTAATAATACAAACTATAAATGCATAAACCTATTGACTGGACAATTCTATTTCCATATGGAAATACTTCAGCTAGGTATTTAACACAAACACTGGGTTACTCAAGTATTATTTGCAAAAGACTAGAATGGCCAAATAAATTATGATACACATATACTATGGTATTCTATGAACAAAAAACAAAATGAGGGAGACAAAAAAAGAATGAGGGAGATTTTAAATTTGATAGGAAACAAGCAACAGAAGAGCAGTAGAGTACCTATTTGTGTTAGGAAGAAAGGAAAGAAGTAGGAAGAAATTATATGTATTTCCCTTTACTGACACAGAGAGCATCTTTGGAACACCCAAGAGACTGTAACACTGACTGTATTTGACAAGGAGAATCTCTGCTTGAGAGACAGGAGTCGAAGACTCTGTAAAATAACTTTAACTACCTTTTAGATTTTGAACACTCTAAGGATATTACCTACGCAAAAACCTGAAAGTATGTTAACCTGAGGGGGGACGTGCTATTTTACTGTCAAAACAAGGATGCTGAACAATAGTACTTGGAGAAATAAAAATAAAACTTAAAGTACTATGAAAGAATAGGCTCTTTGCTTTTGTTGCATGAGTTCACACTCTTAAATAGCAAAAACAGCTCCTTTTTCTGATACCTGCTAATTAGATTCATTAAGCGCTCAGCTCAAACCTGGAATAATTTCACCATCCTCCTGCAAGTTAACAAGTTCTACTAACCAGCCAGTAGGTTTGTTCTGTTATCCCTTCCAACTTCCCCATGACAGACAATGACTTCTCATGCTCTCAGAGAAGCAGGGGACCACAGAGCTGGTCTCATCTTGGCCCCCATGTCACATATCAACTTTCGCAGTTCCAGAGTCCTTTGTCAGAAATGACTCAAGCCCCCCAGATAGCCTGGTCAGGAGAAAGACTCAAAGGTATAAGCAACATTTTCCTCACCTCCTCCACATTCAAGGACATTTCAAGGGTATCGTTATTTTAATGTTCTCTTTTAGTCATTCTGTCAGTTGTCTGCCAAATTTAATAGGTAGATATATACAAGTCACCTTTCTTCTCTGTTGCATAAACAGTAATTTCAAGTAGAGAGAAAGAATCACAATATTTTGAGTATAAACGAGCAATGGTAAGCGTGTGGACAGCCTGGGGCAGATGTCAGCACAAGCACAATTATGTGGCACACTTCTGCATGGCAGGGACCTCTACTAATGGGGCTTCACCCACTTGAACTGTGTACAACGAGGAGCCCAATTATTTGAAAAAGTTCATTTCCTTCTTACCAGAAATAAAATTAAGCATTCCTGTTCGATGTGGGTCGAACCTTATAAAGACACGCTTGCTTACAGTCACAGTAAAGTAAATCCCTTGTCTACCCAGTAAACACCAAGACTTTTAAAAGTCCAAGAAAAAGTACAAAGACTTGGAACCAAAAGTTCTGGGAAATAGGAACTGGCCATGTGTCATTCCTTAGCTATTACAGAACAAAAACCAAAATGCATAAGCAGCAGCTGGTAGTCCCTATAAGAATTCCTTTTCACAGCCCAATGCAAAGATGAAATGTACCCAACCAGAGGTAAGTGCCAGCACCAGCAAGCCCATCCCAAAGCTCATTCCAAGTGGCTTGGCATGGGCTGTGCTGTGGTGGTGCGAGCCCTGCCCAGACCCCTTTTCTGCCTGACAAGACAACTTAAGCTACAGTTCCAAATCAGACTCAAACAACAAGCATGGCGCTAATTGCACAGGACTGGGAGTTAGGAAATGTGAGCTTGGTCCCAACTTGGACATGTTCCTTTATCTCTTTCTAGCCAGTTTTCTCAATGAGAATCATTTCATGGACCCGTCAAAGTATATAATGCCCCCCCTCCATCTTACAATTACACATAATCTCAACTCAAATACTAGCACCAGAAAATAAGTTTGCCTTCTGGACTCTTTGTCCAAAGAAGGAATGTCAGGACAACTAAGAGCAATAAGACCCCAAATTAGGAGGCTTTCAACCCTTAGGAACCCTGAAAGGCCTTTGACACCCAAAAAGGGATGACCAGATTATAAGTAACAGCACCTTCTCCCCAAGGTCCACTGCAGTTCAGACACTAGTCGGATATACCAGTCAACTGTTCCCACTAAATTTTCATCAGTCCTCACTCACATCCATCGATAGACCCTCTCAGATGTACCATTTCTTTGTCCTTGATTTTATTACACTAGTCTGAAAACAGGAGATCTAGGAACCTAACTCCAGTTTTACCAGGGCTTAGATTTCACAGTCTTTGTTCACCTTACCTCTCCAGAGATGCTTCACTCTCAGATTAAAGAAGTTCCAGAAGCAGTTCTATAGTAAATGTGCAAATATGTCCCCACCTTTGTATAGATTGTCCATGTGGTGCCTTCTTTTCAAGACCATTTCTAAAATATCAGCATCTGAGGTCTAGATTCTAGCTCTTTCAACCATCTAACCAAGTATTTTTGGGAAAACCATACATCCTTTCCATAATCAAGTGGGTTAGATTAGATCATATAAGTTCATTTTTAGATATGCATGATTGTCATGGAGACAGAACCAGAGGTATACCACTTACGCTCAGCTGTGTAAGACATATACTTTGGCCAGGCCCACCTCCGGACAGTTGCCATTTCTAGGCTTGGTGGGCAGGTCACAGAGATTACTATATAGAGGTTGCACATACCTTTCCCTCATCCACCAGCTTTGCAATATCATCTAGATATGGACCGCTGGCCATGAAAAATGCCCAGCGATAATGGACTCCTTGCCAGAAGTGCTAAAAAGAAAACAAAACATGTCAATGTAGGAAGGGGTAAGATCAGACAAAAAGCAATTTTTTAAAAGATTTATTTATATATACAGAACTGGGATACAGGTTAGAGGTGCCAGGGGTGAGAGGATTCACCAGAGACAGTGGGGAAGCAGACCAGGCAGACTGAAATACACTGCTGAGGGGAGCAGTGGGCAGGCCAGGAGAGATCTGCTGTGCCATGTGGGTCAGCTCCCTGGCCGGGAATGGAACTTGTGCTGCAGTGGCTGCGATAGCTTCATAGTGCTACACTTTAACCCACTGTGCCACCAGGGAGGCCCAAAAAGCAATTTTTAAAAAGATTGATTTATTTATACATACAGAACTGGGGTACAGGCTAGAGGTACAGGAGCAGTAAGATGATTCATTAGAGACGAAATGGGGAGCAGAATAGGTAGATCAACGAAGTACACTGCTGAGGAGAGCAGCAGGCAGGTCAGGAGAGGTCTGCTGCACCATGTGCATCACCTCTGAGGCCGGGGATTGAACTCACACTGAAGCAGTTGAGGCTCGCTTGCTGTGCTGCATCCTAACACAATGCAACAGCAGGGAAGACCCAAAAAGCAAATTTAAGGAAAAGTGTTTCTGAATAACTAAAACTAATTTCTCACTTCATGTTCAAACATGAGTTGTATGTTCAGCACTTAAGGACAGTGACTGATATAGTGAAGACTCCATAGATGTTCAAATGAACAAAGATAAATCCACGTGATATCAGGCTTAATCATCAAGTAATGACTGATAAGCAATTAAATACAGGAAAGTTCTTAAAATGACAGTCAAAATAGTCTTTTACATACTGGCTTTCTTCCTTAGGAGATATTAGGGGCTGAGACCAGTAGGCTTTCCCTACTAAGCTTTGAATAAAGGTTAGAGGGATCAGAAAAGTTTTATTTAGCTTAAGAATTCTGCTGGGGAGCAAGAAATCATCAAAAGGTAATCTTAAACAAGAAATCCAATCACATTTTCTTTCTCTGGCTTTGAGAGAAATAAGGCCGCTTTACAGGTAAAGCAGTGTAGAGCCCCAGCCTTTCCTGGGTCTTCCCTATAGGTACAAGTCCCACATCATTTAATTTACTATGGGGCTAAAAATCTTATACCAGAAGGGTTACTGGGGCCCTCCCTGGTGGTGCAACAGGTTGAAGTACCACAAAGCTAGCTGCAGCCACTGCAACACGACTTCAATCCCCAGCCAGGGAGCTGACCCACATGGTGTGGTAGACCTCTCTGATCCACCTGCTACTCCCCTCAGCAGTGTATTTCAGTAGATCTGCCTGTCTGCTCCCCACTTTGTCTCTGTCTGCTCCCCACTTTGTCTCTCAGTGCACCTGTACCTGTTTTGTATGCATAAATAAATAAATCTTAAAAAAAAAAAAAAGGGTTACTGATCACTCAACTGTCATACCCCCTTGGATTCAGGGTAGACCACTATCAAAATAACAGGGGAGCAGAGGTTCCCCCTATGATATATCAGTAGTTGGGTCAACTAAATTTCACAAAGGAGAAAGCTATTTGCAGGTAGCCGAGGATCAGTCACTACCCGCTGCCTCTTCCCAATCCTGTCCACAACTGCTAAGGAACGGACAATTCTGTACCACTGAGTTTACCTGTCTCATAGTACCTCAGCCTGGCACAAGCTACATTCGTGGCATGAAGCTGGCAGGTGACATGGACTCCTCTGCTATTCTAGCTCAGCACGACCCCTGTCAACTCCCTTCTATGGCTTGCAGAATGGTGGCATCACCACCACAGGGTTTTTGGAAAGATTAAATAAGAATGCATAGAAAATGCGAGGGACAGAAAATATTCAATAAATACCCAGTGCTGAACGTAAAGTACTGGGAAAATGGGAAAATACCAAATCCGAGTGTGAGACTGCAGAATGACAGGCCCATATGCAACAGTGTGCCAGGAAGGGCTTACTGGTTGGCTCAGTGAGCCTATAGTTTATTGTCTAAGCTGGAACAATTGTGAGGATTAAAAGAGTCAGCTTTAATAATTATCTTAGAACCATATATGCAAACAGAGCCATGTTTACCCTAGAATAGGTGTGACGAGATAGAGATTCCCCTCAGCCCTTGGGGTAGCAGAGCAGAGCTGGCAGAAGTCACCAGATAGTTTGCTTCTGGCCTAGAGCAATCTCAGTAAGTTATTCAAATACTATCATCTTCTATGTGTGTCATAGCATGAAAGGTCAGGAAGCACTGATCTAGCCCATTATCTTAAAAAGAAAAGAAAAAACAAAACAAAACAGTTTAAAGGCTTCTGTAGCTAGTTACCTGAAGCACTGATTGTCCCAGGCTTACAGTGCAGCCTGGTAATTACAATCACATAAGACCTGTTCATGTAATTCTCCCTCTGAGGTCTGGTCTCAAAGACTACAAAGAAAACATTCTGGCAATTGTTTAGAGTATTAAAGAAAGAACAGCAATGGTCACAAGGGCCGCGTCTATAATTCTTTATAGCATGCTGCACTGTAAAGCGAAACTTTGCAGAATTTTAAAATTCTATTTGAAAGGGTCTGTGCATTTTTTTTTCAGACCATTATAGGAGAGTAAACTGAAGCAGGCGGGAGAGTTAGGAGCATTACAATGAGGCTTTAACTGTGCACATTCTCAGAAAGACATTAGAAACCACTTAAAAGGTTTTCACATGAGATTACCACTATCATCTTTCAAGTTGGGGAGAGAAAAAAAATGGAGAGTAATGTCTATTTTACTCTGAGGACAAGTCTGAAGGTTAACTTGTAAGAGGTCTCAGTGGAGTATAAATTGGAATCTTACAGAAAACTCAAACTTTTATTTTAAAGCTCTTGGAAAGCCTGGGTTTCGTGAATAGGGAAAGAAGAGATGAAGGGCAGCTAAGCTCTCTTTCTCCGCCATAAGCACCCCATAGAAACTGTTTGTGGCTGCTACTGAATCAAAGGAAGATAAAGAAACCCGGAATCAAGTGTCTGGTTTGTTCGTCTATTACCCACACATTTCCTAAGACTTGAGTAAAGGCCACCTCTACTCTGTTTATTAATTTTGCTACCTCTATGAACAGAGAATTGAAGATATCAAACAACTACATTTCAACAAAAAGATATCAAACTAATTTCTAGAATAAAAAAAAGTTAAAAATAAATATCAAGCCAGTCATCTTACTAACATGTTGGCCTGCCCAACCTGAAATCTCACATCCTTTTTACCACTGAGTTGTTTTTTTTATGTTTTAAAATTTAGTTATGCAAACAGAACTGGGGTATAGACCAGAGGTGGAGGGGCAGTGAGAGGATTCACCAGAGACAGATCCAGGAGAACAGCAGACAGGTCGACAAAGTACACTGCTGAGGGGAGATTTAAAATAAAAGTTTAAGTTTTCTGTAAGATTCCAATTTGTACTCCACTGAGACCTCTTACAAGTTAACCTTCAGACTTGCCCTCTGAGTAAGATGGGCATTACTCTCTTCATTTTTTTTCTTTCACCTACTTGAAGAGAGATACGGCGTGCCTTGTGGGTCACCTCTGGGGCTGGGGATCAACGTGGTGCTGAAGAGGCTGCAGGGAACCTCAGGTGCTGCACTTTAACCTGTTGCACCACTAGGGAGGGCCCTACTGAGGAATCTTCTAATGCCCTTTCCCTGAGTCTGAAGTATTGTGTGTTGAAATAAGTGTCAGAATTTTATTTATACTTTTTTCGTACCATTCAACATTTAGATTTTAAAGCAATGAGCTATAGTTACCAATAGTGCATAACATGAAATTTTATAAACCTCCATCACCACTGTGATGGCAACAGGCCATCATGTTAAGTGGAGGACACTTTCAAGCTTCCCTATCAACCCCGTACTAGTGCTGATCTGCAGTAGCCTTCAGGCCACCACACACTTGGTATGTTCAACTAGGTGACATTTGCTCCTTACAGTTCTGCTCCTGGTGGCTCACCTAACTGAGTTAGGTTTACTAACCAAGTCTCAGAAAACTCCCAAAAAGCCATTAATAGCTAACGTTTCTGAATAACATCAGAGACACAATGTCAGTACAATTCCAGAAGAAGGATATGATTCTAATTATCCTACAAAGCCTCAATGAAGTAAATTATAATTTTTTTTTTTAAACACTAAAAAATTGTCATGGACCCTAAAGATCTGAAAGTTCCAGTCTGGGAATCACTGCTGTGATTTACTACCAGAGAACAGAATGCTGTGTGCACTCTTAATAATTTCCACCTTCCTATACAAAAGATGACTAGTTATGACTGATGAAACAGATGGAGCCATCAGGAACCAGCAAGAAGGAAGCAGAAGTATCTCAAGTGATAATAAAGGCTAACATTTAATAAAAGCTATTTTGTACTAGGCATCATGCCAAGTTCTTCACAGGAATTATCTCCCTTAATCCTTACAATAGGCAGTAAGATAGATATACTATGAGCCTCATTTGACAGGTGAAGACATTGGTGTAGAGATATTAGATAACTTTCCAGGGATCAAACAGATATTAAGCAGAGGCCAGAATTTGAGCCTAGTGACTCCATACTCCATGCCCAGAGCCACTTCACTGAGCTTCCTCCAAGAGAAAAGCTAAATGGAAACCAAGATCCAGAAGCATGAGTTATCTGCTTGCTTTCACCACCCAAGACCCTTCCCCCTACCTTTAATGTCTTAGAACCCACGGTGACTCCTGTCTGCAACATGCCATCTGCTACGCCCAACTGATCCATGTTCAGGAGGAAAGGCGTCACCAAAGTGACATATGTGGCTCCTGACCACTTCTTGAGAAGCTTGAGAGCCCATGTTTCAGTGGATCCACCAACATTATCAAGGATAAAATCAAACCTAGGAAGGAAGAATTAAATAAAAACATTCTTGTCAGTCTAGACCAGGGCTCCAAACCCCCTCACACATGCACCCACTACCTTAGGCTTTATTTCAGTGATGGCTCACAGACCATGCTGTGTGGTGCTGTCCAGCAGAGAGGTGGTTGCTTTGACAAAGACAGTCATTTGCTGCACTGAATAATATTTTTGTTTATAAAATTACATGCTTTTCTAATACTTTAAAAATGACTTAAACAAGTGGTCCTCAACTAAGGGTGGACACATTCAACAATGTCTAAAAATGTTTTTAATTGTTGTATTTGAAGAAGATGGTGGAAAGGGACTATTAGCATCTAGCAGCCAAGCATGACCAAAAAGAACACCCTACAACGCAAAGAACAGCCTCTCATAGTAAAAAAAAAGTATCCAGCGGCCCTCCGTGGTGGCGCAGCGGGTTAAAGCACTGCACTGAGAAGCTAAAGCCACTTCTGCATGAGTTCGATCCCTGCCTGCCCCGGAGGTGACCACATGGCGCGGC